GGGAGCCCCATCCTGGTCAGAGAAGGCAAAGGGCTTCAGCTCCATCTGAAACCTGCAATCCCACAGGCAGTGGAATGGAGCCAAATGTAGTGTCAGTGGGATCCAGGACCCACAGCCTCCTAATTTCTGTGATCCAAGAGTCCTGCCCACAATATCTTATCTACACTCCACTGTTTCTGGGGTCCAGTTCAGAAGAATACTTGGAGTTTTCTTACTCAATTCCCTCCCCTGTTCCCAGTTCCTCTCTGCCATGAAATCAACATGCTGCTGGTAGAAGACCCTTCCATGGTCTGTAAAGAATCGTAGAGTCATTAAGATTGGAAAAAAAACACCAAAATCACAGAATCACAGAATCACCCGGGTTGGAAGGGACCTCAAGGATCATGTAGTTCCAACCCCCCTGCCTAGCAGGGCCACCAAACATACACATTCAGATCAGAATCAAAATCATCAAATCTAACCATCCCCACCATGCCCATGTCCCCCAGTGACACATCTTCCCTCTTCATTGGCACCTCCAGAGATGGTGACTTCACCACTTCCCTGGGCAGCCTGTTCAAGCAATCAGATCTTCCTCTTGTCTTCTGCTAATGAGTTTATGAATAATCAAATGTATTCTATGTAATTTTAACCAATTTTGTATGTAATTACCAACATCTATCCTCTGCTGTCCTGTGAAACATTGTGGAAATGGTTTGGGATCAAGATTTATTGTAGGCTGCTGCACTGTGCTCTTGAGCCTAATGAAAGCAAGGCTTACCCTGGAGGAGCAATTCATCTGAGTGTCCTCTGTTTCAGCAATAGCAATATTTTTAATCCATGTGTTTGTCAACAAGTCAACCTGTTCGGTCCTAATGATCTGTACAAGAAATACATTTTTCAAAGTCTCAGCAGCGTACTTTTCTTCAGCATCTCTGGCTAGAAGGGACTAGTGAAGTGATAGAGCTCCAAATCTTACAGCTTGTTCTTGAAGTACCCCTAATGATGGTTGGGTTCTGAATATGAAGAAGAGGTTTTAATTACTAAATGGAAAAAAATGAGCTCAAAGCAGAGCCAATTGCCAGAGCTTCCACAGAACTGACTACATTCACAAATCTTCTAATGTTTTTATGTTCATTATGAGAATACTACATTAAAAAAGAGCAATCAGGTCTTGGCCAACAAATTAAATGCTTATTCAAAAATTAATTCACATCATCTGTACTCCATTAGATGTTCTCTTTTGCCAGGGAATATAATGCAATATTTTCAGGGGGAATAACTGCTGCTGTTGCCAATACCTTACAATTTACTGGCTCTTGCAGCACTGACATAGGATTCACAGGGTTATGCCATAGCTAAAGCAAATAGTGTAGCAGTGTACAGTATGTGACATATGGATCAAATCTGCTTCATTCTGGCATTAAAAGGCTCTGATTACAACTCTGTGATGCCGCCAAGTGACAAGGGAAAAGCAAATCCATAAATTAATAAAAGTCTATCCTTTTTTGTATCATGGAAGAAACAATTTGTTGCTTATGGGTCTGGGTTTTTCCCCCCCAGACCATAAATACACTGGGATTTCATTTGCAAATCAGAAGATACGAATGAGGAAAGTGTGACTTTTAACTTTGGTTTGTCTAACCTGAGACATCTCAACAGCCCAATCTTTCCAAGAACAAATGCATGGCACTGCTAAATTCCCAGAATTATTTAAAAGCAAATCAAAACAAAAATAAAACACACATGCACACGCACAAAAAAAAAAAAACCCAAAACTTCCCCAAACAATTTGTGATTTCTCTTGGAATGCACAGTGCTGGAATGCCATTGGATATCATGTCTGTCTTCATTTTTGTTCAAAATGAAGATTTTACCTTCTGTTTTCCAAGCAGAACCTCAAAATAAAAGATGACTATGAGATAATATGGTACGTATAGACAAGAAGACAGAACACAGTATTTACAGGAAGTACCCAAATCAGATGAGATGGACTAAATTCTCATGCTTCTTTACGTAGATCTTGGAAGTTAACACTATTTTGAGAAGGAAGTTGGACCAGAAACATCTAAAGGTCTCCTCTACCCACTATTACAAGTCTATGGGAACTGTACACATCTGCTCCTTTCTTCACTTGTGTTGGGCACAAAGCACTGTAAGGCAAGAAGCCCTAAGGCTTCAGTAATACATGAACCAAGTGCATAGTGTTCTGTTGATAGGGATGGACGATGCTATTGGGGTTACACCATGTGGATGAGGTCCCTGAGCTTTAGGGATGGGCTATTCACTGCTGTGTTCTTCAACCCTGGCTCCTCATGACCTCATTACCAGAAGCTGTGGGTAAAATAATCCCATTCTGGTATATATACCATTTGGCCTCCTCCTAAATAACTCCTACAAGCCATTTAGGAAAAAGTGATGTTGCATCCGTGTTCTATCATCCCTGTGTTTTCCAGATTAGAGACAAAGACACAGAAAAAGTAAGGAGAATTTATGGATCTTTTTTTAATGCATTAAATGAGTGTACACACAAGAGTGAGACTCATGAAAATTACCATGCTCAGTGCAGAATTGCCTATAGTAGCTCATGGGAAATGATAATTTTTTAGTTTTCGCCTCACTGGAGCTGTTACTACTGGATTTAAATAGCTACAAGGAAAATTACACAACACATAGGTATTTGCATCCTTTACTGGATTTAGTTCCTGATCCCTTTTTTATGCCAAACGCCACAGGAGACAACACAGCAATAAATACCTCAAAATAGTAGTTAATTATCCAAGGCCCATCTTTCTTTTCTTCTTTTTCAATTATTTTTTTTCTCTGAGCCGAAGGAGATCAGAGAGAGTATCTAAATGACAAAGATAGTGCTACAAAAGCAAACAGTACAAGTGGGAGAATTTCAGCTGCTAAACTGATTGTCAGAACACAACAGATGAGGTGGGTGCTGGTGGGTACATTGTACCCCAGATTTAAGTAGCCAGATCTTACTTACGAAACAGTCCCTTCCCTTCCAGATGTTCCACTGCATCCAAGTTATTGAAATACATGAATTTACAGATGTCACAGAATTCGTCTGCAGTTGTATTTTTTATTTACTATAAACAAATCACCACGAAATCTAGGTGCTATACTGCCATGAATTACACCCTCCTAGGTTGCTTTGTTAGAGGCCCAAATCAAAACCAAATGGTGTCATTTTATTGACTTCACTGGGCACTGGATATGGCCCTGCTTCCATTTGGGAGGAGGAAGCCAGATGCTGCGAAGTGGCCATTTTATTTGGTTGAAGAGCAGAACTAAGTAATGTAAAGCTGTTTTTTGTCCTGTAGGAGCTATACAAGATCTGGGCTACCTACTCAGCCTTTTAGACACAGAAGTAAGTAAACAGTTTGGCTCCAGAGTGGTTTTGTGAAAAACATTACTTCTTGACAAATTAATCCCTCCTCCTCAATACAATCTGCATTGCTTGTTTCTCCCACTGGCGTCTCAGAAGTAAAACGGGGAAATGGGATTGCTCTGTTTAATGAGCTGTTATTACTCTTATTTTATTATGATGCCCAATAAATATTAAGTTTTTATTTTTCCTGAGCTCTTTCTTTCAGGAAATGTCAGCCAAACACAACCCAGCAAAAGCAATCTTTGTGTTTGCCTTGGCTTCTGGGGCTTGCCATCTTCCCAGAACAAGGACAGAATGGAATATGGGGCACACTGCCTGCCTCTAAAATTGGGCACTGTCTAGAGCTAGCTTGCATATGTTGGAAGCCAAACCTGCATTATGGGCTTTGCCAAGTCTGGCACTTTTGCTCCATTTTCCCAAGCCTGTGGTAGCCACATCAATATGTATTTGGGAAAAGCATGAGCGCATCCAAGGTGTTATGCAAATATCCTCTCCTGTGCTCTGCTGCAATACATGCCTTGAAATAAGCTTTTATAAACTGTATTGCAAAGGCTTTGCAGATGTCGTCATTTTTGGATTAATTACCAAGCAAAAGCCAACCATTTTTGTGCTTTAATATACATTAATAAAACCAATTAGCAGTGTCTAGTTGTCAAGCAATGTCAGAAATAGAGCGTCACGCTTGGTTTGTGAAAAACAGCTTGGACACCATGCTCTCTGATTTTGGCTCATGTATTGTAAACAGGAGGACACCCTTTTTTCTTCAAGCGTGCCCCTGATGGAATGTTCATACTATAAATCACTCCAACTTAAATTACGTGTTTTTATTTTCTGCATTAAAATTCCAGAACATGATTCATCCTCTCATCACTATATTTTGACATTAATGCAACTCCTCCACAATCAGTGGAGCTGCTCCAAACTGGGGTACTAAAGCTGGTTTTTAGACAACATTTTTTTCATTAAGTCCATCCTATAAGCAACTTCTACTTTCACTGTGGAACAGTGGAACGATTCTGTTCATCGCAAAAAAGCACTGCAGAAAACCTTGTAGCCCATCCCATCACAAATATCAGCCCCACACCAGCACCGTGTCACTGATGAACTGGGTGCACAGACAAATACCAGCAATTGGACAAGAATAGCAGTGTTTCATTGAAAACCTAGTTAATTCTTTCCTTTATTCGATACTGATAAGAATTAGAGTCTAGATACCTCATATCTGTTTTTTTTTTTTCTATTTGATAGATTGAGTGTAATTGGAGGACAACAGCTCCCAGTACACCAAAACCTCCTCTCTCGCATACATGAGTTTTGACCTCAACATGCTGTGGGGCATAATCTCCCTATAGGAGTGTGACTGCAGAGGTTACAGAGGATACACAGCTCAGCTACCAATGTACTGCTGTTAACTGATTCAAAACAGTACATCTCAGTTCACTTATTTGGATCTTTCTGAGAGTATGTCTCAACATTTGTGTACATTACAGAGCTAGACCAGAAAGCTTTTGGCACAATTATTGTTTCCTAACAGGAGAAATCTCCAGTCTTGTGATACCAGCCTACTTGTACCATATGCCATTTTTAAATTCAGAAATGTTTTAACTGGCACAACACTGACCTGAAATATGCTGGGCCTTTGGAAGGAAAATGCAGCATGAGAGAAGAGGAGAGGGAGAGCCATCTCATTCATCTAACAGGCTGCCTTACAGGCCGTCAGCTCGCTGTAGCTGCTCAGGATCCTGGCAGGCTGGGAGCTATTCTGGGGAAGAGAAGCAGATGGATGAGAATTGCATGCAGAATGCAGTCCTGTCATACAGCAATGCTGTTCATCATTCACATTCCCCTCTTGGACACTTGGTAACGTGCACAGATGCTAAAGTCTCTTGGACTTAATTGATGCATTTTTGCTTTCCTTACACACGCTACCATCACCAGAGACCTTTAGCAACAGCTGAAACTCAACACAAAAAGAAACTGTAAACTTGTGCTCCTTAGTTTTGTCTAAAACAGCTTTGATGAGACTTGTTGAACATGGAAGAGAGTCCTGAAACTTCCAAGATGAAAGCAGAACAGCAAGCATAACTGCCTGATTTCATTTAACACCTCTCACATTAGGATCAGAAATGTTTTTCCAGAGAAACGCAGGCAGTAGACTAAATATGTAACTGAGACACATTTTTCCCTGTCTGCATACCCAGCTCTGCCACTGCCATGCCCCGTGACTTCATTTGGGGTCTTTAACTGCTGTTTGCACTGCCTTCGCTACAGGCAAACGAACACAGGGACATTGAATTTCCTGGATGAGGCAAAGACACATTAACATGAACTGCTGTACATTTCCGAGGCAAGCACTGTACTTGTGTAAAGCATTCAGTGTGCTGTGCATAGGCTTATTCCTGCCTCTGTTTTTGCTAGTGTTGGCAGCTTTGCTATTTACTTCTGCTATTTATAATGAGAAGTTTCACGTTGCCTTCTTAAAGATGCACAACGTATGCTAAATGTTATGAGGAGCTGCTCCTAACAAACATCCTTAAATCCACTTTGTTCTTGCTTCAAATTCTTAATGAAACACAATTCTGCTACAAAACCCCCTAAAACATCACAGTGACCAGGAAAGTTATAAGCTGAAATTTTATTGCGTTACACCAATATGGACAACACACACAGAAGGGAGACGTGACCCACATGAGCTGGCACGTCCCTGTGTCACCACACACCACAACCCAGAGAAAGTAATCTAAATCTAAGGAAGCAAAGAGCAAGAAAAAATTTTCCACACAACTGGAGGCTTGTGACCACATGACAAAATTTTAAAATGGGATTAAACACACTCAGAGAGTCACAAGGCATTAAATGTCCATCTGGGAGATGGCTAACCTGCTGGTCAGTGCTGTGCTGGGGGCAGACCATCCTATACACACCATACTCTCTGACCTCTTCCTTTCAGCCTTCCTCAACAACTGCTGTCAGACAGAATCACAGAATCGTTATGGTTGGAAAATCCAATAAGATCATCCAGTCCAACCATCAACCCACGCCTGTCACTGGGCTAGATAAACCTTTGCTGTTACCCAGTAGAATATTCCTTATGTTTTTTAGTACATTAGTAAGATCTGTGTTATTTCACAGTAATACAGCACCACATTGCTTCTAGCACTGTGGCAGCCTTCATGGAGCTGGGTACCCCTCCACACCATCTTCACAGAATCACAGAATCACGGAATTGTAGGGGTTGGAAGGGACCTCCAGAGATTATCGAGTCCAACCCCCCTGCCAAAGCAGGTTCCCTACACCAGGTCACACAGGTAGGCATCCAGGCAGGATGTTACAACCCTGGGTTTCTTGCCTCTACTGAAGTATTTTATTTAGCATGTGTATTATACAGAGTGGGACATTCTTTTGGTCCATTCTTTTGGCTTACTGAAGGGTCAACATGACACTATATAAATATTAGGCACAGGAGATACTAAAGTAAGCTGCAAAGGGAAAACATGGAGACCTGACCTCCAGCCCCCATGTTGCATTACACAAGGTCAGCTGATATGACAAACACTGTAAATAGAAGTGGCTTGTTCTGAGCAATAGCTGTTAAACCAGTAAAGGGAGAAAACTTCGGAGAAAAATCACTATTTTTCCTCATTTATCAAACAAGACTCTGTATCTTTTTATTTTTTCATTCCCTCCTTTTTAAACAAGTTCAGTTTGTGAAGATTGAAGAAAAACAAGACGTCCTTTCAAATCCCTTCTCTAGATCAAACCTCATTAGGTTTCGATGTCAATGGTGCATAGAAGGCTGACCGCTGCCAGCAGAAGTATTTGGCAGCCGGACTGTTACATAATACAATCCTGTCTTTCACAGAACAGAGATCTCTGTGCTGCTAAATGTGCTAAAATTTAACCCGATGCTTTGCTCCATCCAGCCAAAACAACGCCTTGCATTTTCCATAGTACTAAAAATGATGATTATAAGAAAATAAAAATAAAAAAGGTAAGGTTTCTGCTGAAAAATAAAACATCCCCAAACACTAAAAATGCATGTAGGTATTTATTTAAGGAAGTACATGCTTCCCTTTTCCCACTTCTGACCAAAATCAGCTCTAAGAAGGGAGATGTTTGTCCCAAGAAAAGCAAGGAGGACATTTTAAAAACTTGTACATCTATCAGAATAAATATGCTAATGAAAAGAAGTGTGTTACTCTCAAACCATGTCACTGCTTCAAGAAAATGTTTGGATTCAGAAACTCTGGAAACACAAAATGTTTTCCAAGGCTGTTTACAGTATGCTTGGAGTTTTCAGCTCCCATGAGTAGGAAGAAGATATTTAAACTTCCAAATTTTTTCCAGAATGGCTTCTAGCTGTGTCTGTGCATCCCATAATGTTCAGAAGAACACTATCAGCTTTGAGTAGTGTAAATCGAGGGTACTTCAGTTCCCCCTCCTAGTTTTTGCTAGTATTGGTCAGTTTGTCAACAAATTCACAGGGCAATCTACTGTGCCAGATACTGACAGGTGATATTCCCACTGAACCCATGTTTTCAAAACCAAACCATCTTCTCTAAGCCTCTGTATGCAACCACCGAGCCATCCCTGGACCAGCCCCAATATCCTGTGTTCAGCTAATGAATACCCTCCAGCAACACTGACATTAGCACGTCTTGGAAAAAGAAACCCAATTACAGGTCTGACTGAGACTGGAAGAAAGGTCTCTGGCATTTGCTTGACAGAAACCAAATGGCAAGAGTTCAGGAGGCACAGCTCTACCCAGTCGACTCCCAGACACCAGCAAAGATGATCCAGTGGGCCTCTGAGAGCTGAGAAATACTTGGGGGAATGCAAACCTATGCTTAAACATAGATTTAAGGGGAATTGGAGGTACACTGGAATGACTGCATGTGCACTCAACTACACACCAAGACATCCAGCATGGCGCAACTGCAGCCACCTCTACTTTATGGCAAATGTCAAACTGACAGAATCCTTCCTCAAAAAGCCCTGGTGTCAGCTACTGTTGCAAGCAGAGGCTGGCGTTACACGCATGTCCTTGCAAAGCATGGACTACATGGCACATGTGAGACCTGACCATACTCCATGTCACAGAACCATAGAACCATTAAGGTTGGAAAAAACCACTAAGATCACTAAGTCCAACCACCGTCCCATCCCACCATGCCCACTAACCACATTCTTCAGTGCCACATTGCCAGATTTCTCAAACACCTCCCTGGGCAGCCTGTTTCAGTGCATCACCACTCTTTCAGAGAAGAAAATTTTCCTAATATCCAACCCGAACCTCTCCTGGTGCAACGTAAGGCCATCACCTCCCATCCTATTGCTGTTAACGGGGAGCAGAGAGTGACCACCGCTTTGCTACAACCTCCTTTCAGGCAGTTGTAAAGAGCAATAATGTCCCCCTAAGCCTCCTCTTTTCCAGACTGAACAACATCCCGCATTTCTACACACTTTGTTTTACTGATCCTGAAGGAGGGAAGATACAAACCAAGTCAGATCAGGGAAAATGCTATTCATAAATCTCTCTGAAAAGAAGGCCAGAAGAGGACAGGGATTTATACAGTCTGCACTGCACACTGAAGAATCCACTCTGTCCACTGGAAGCAAACTAAAGCCCCAAAGCTTGAGCTCACCTCTGGTGGCATCACTGCCCCAAATGTCCCACCCTGGCAAATAGGCCAAGCAAACATGGTCAGCCTGGGACCTGTGGTCACGATAGCCTGCGGGACTTCATTGCTCCCAGTTAGAGCCTGCTGCCACAGTGTCCAGCAAAACTCTGCTCAGCATGGTCTGAATATCATTTTCTTGGTGCTCCTCCAAACCCACGTGGAGCTGATTGTGCTTTCAGCTGAGCTGCGTGTTTCACGGGTGGCTGCTCTGTGCTCTGTACCCAGGGAGGAGTGCAAGAGGAGAGAGAGTAGGTGGGAAGAGTTAGTTTTAGGAAAACTTAGTTTACTTAGGAATTTATCTCATTTCCCCGAATCAAGAGTTAATTAGCCCACATTGCTCTCTTTGTTCAGATGTTGTGCATTATGCTTTGTAGGCAGATAATGGCCTAGAGCAAGTACTACATAAACAAGCCCTTGTTAATTGCGGCTTGGAGCATGACAGAAAACCTGGGGATATGAACGGGCATTACTCACACCAAAAACCTCTACACAGCCCTTTCGCATACCATGACTGCTGAGGTCCCAGATGACATCCTGCAGTGCCAGCAGCCTCCTCCAGCCAGAGGCTGGGGAGCAAGCGTCCCTCTGAGCCCCAGCCTCAGCACCAGCGCCTCACAGGGATGATCCAGCCAAAGTCTGGCTCTCATAACCAGCCAGCTCCAAGGTTTCTCTTGGCTTGGCGGCCAACTTGTGTAACTAGGGTGAGGTGGTGTGGGGAGCACAGAGGGTGACAGCGGATCCTGCATGGATCAGGGGAGCTTGGCTGGGTTTTGCTGCTTTTGAACAACGTGGTCTAAGCTTGTTAACACAGCTTAGACTCATTCTGGCTTTGCATGGATGAGGGCTGCGCTAGTCAGAAGGAGCTGGGCATGCCTCTACAGGCAGGGACAGAGGTAGGTCTTGATCCAGCAACCCTGGTGCTAGTTCCCTTCCTCATTCTACCTCATTCAAAACCAGCATGTCCTCACTCACCTTCAATATTTTACATTGGTCTAAAGTCACACAGGTCCCTACGAGGTCATTAGAGGTATTTTGAATAACAATAATTTCAATGTCATCTGCATTTGATTTCCTTACAGTC